GTTGCAGTTTGGCACTCGGGCTCAAAAAGGTTTGCCATCACTGTCATATATGGGCAGAACAGAGACTAAAAGGTTAGCACTTCCACCTGGCAGTACTCGGGTCGTTGGTTCATATCCCAACCTCTGTACCACCTGCCTGGAGTTTGCATGTTCTCCCTGTGCCTGTGTGGGTTTTTTTCTGGGTACTCCAGTTTCCTCCCACTCTTCAAAGACATGCTGGTAGGTTAATTGGATCCTGCCTAAATTGTCCCTAGTATGTGTATGTATGAATGTAAGTTAGGGACCTTAGATTGTACACTCCTTGAGGGTTAGGGACCTTAGATTGTACGCCCCTTGAGGGTTAGGGACTGATGTGAATGTACAATATATGTAAAGCACTAAATAAGTACCTGAAATAAATAATATATCATCTCTCTAGATTACAGCTTTTCATGATTGGAATGTCCTGTGCAGTTACTAACTGGACCATATGAAAATAAAGACACTGCATACAATTGAATATGTATTGTAGCTATTGAATATGAGAAGAGGGCAATTTTATCAGTGCTTTTAGTTGCACATTGTTTGTGTTGTGATTTTAATCATGATTGTGTTGAGTAAAGTTGGATTGCAATGGGCATGGACCAAATGGAGTATCAGTTTGTAGAGTTTGATATATTTTCTACTTTAGGGATGCATACAGGGGGTTGAGTCTAAAACAAGGCTCTTCTAGGATAAACATATGTTTATTTTCATTTCAAAACAAAAAAAATAAGAACAGCAACTCTACAACACAAGAGTATGAAAATATGCAAATCAATAAAAACAGACTATAAAATGTCAGCAACGTACAGGATCATCCTGAGGTGTAGAGGGGCCTCCATTGGCCACATTAGATATTTATGCCCCCGGGATGCAGTAACGAGTGATGGACCATAGGCCCATGGGGAACCCAAGGGGAAAAAAAGGAATCTAGGGCTAAAAGGAAAAAGAGGAGGACAGGAAGGAAAGGAGAAGGGAGGGAAAGAGATGAATTGGAACAGGGTGTCCAGGAGGTAAGCTTCATATAGGTATATGGAAAAAGGATTAAAAAGGGAGAAACATGTTTATCTCAGTCATCATGGGCCAGCTGAGGTACCTTCATAGGAATGATGTCCAACTCTCAAAAGCAGAGGAGGCTCCAGTAAAAGCGGATCTATGAAAAATGAGAAATTTAGGTTTTTTAACTTGCCGGAAGCAGAGTAATGCATGCATGTATTAAAACCAGGCTCTTTTAGTCTAAATCAGTGGTGGGCAACCTTTTTTTTCAACTGAGCCAAATCTCGCCAAAACCATGATTGAAATTTATTTTGAGAGCCACATTTTTAAAACTGAAAATACATCTCCCATATAGTAATTCATCCCCCATATAGTAATTCATCCCCCATAGTGTAATTCATCCCCCCATAGTGTAATTCATCCCCCGTATAGTAATTTATCCCCCGTATAGTATTTCATCCCCCATATAGTAATTCATCCCTCATATAGTATTTCATCCCTCATATAGTATTTCATCCCTCATATAGTAATTCATCCCTCATATAGTATTTCATCCCCCCATATAGTATTTCATCCCCCCCATATAGTATTTCATCCCTCATATAGTATTTCATCCCCCCATATAGTATTTCATCCCTCATATAGTATTTCATCCCTCATATAGTATTTCATCCCCCCATATAGTAATTCATCCCTCATATAGTATTTCATCCCCCCATATAGTATTTCATCCCTCATATAGTATTTCATCCCCCCATATAGTAATTCATCCCTCATATAGTATTTCATCCCTCATATAGTATTTCATCCCCCCATATAGTAATTCATCCCTCATATAGTATTTCATCCCTCATATAGTATTTCATCCCCCCATATAGTATTTCATCCCTCATATAGTATTTCATCCCCCCATATAGTATTTCATCCCCCCCATATAGTATTTCATCCCTCATATAGTATTTCATCCCTCATATAGTAATTCATCCCCCATATAGTAATTCATCCTCATATAGTAATTCACCCCCCATATAGTAATTCATCCCCCATATAGTAAAACATTCATCCCCATATAGTAATTCATCCCTCATATAGTAATTCATCCCCCATATAGTAATTCATCCCCCATATAGTAATTCATCCCCCATAGTAATTCATCCCTCATATAGTAATTCATCCCCCATAGTAATTCATCCCCCCATATAGTAATTCATCCCCCATATAGTATTTCATCCCTCATATAGTAATTCATCCCTCATATAGTAATTCACCCCCCATATAGTAATTCACCCCCCATATAGTAATTCATCCCTCATATAGTATTTCATCCCCCACAGTACTATTCCCCCCCCCCCTTCTAGTAAGCCAAGTCCCCCGTGTCAATTCACTTACCTTTTGCGTTCCTCTCGCTGTCTTCCCGCGCCGTTCGGGTCTTCAGGGCGGACTGTGAGAGGAGCCTAGCTCCCCTCCCCTCACGTTCGGCTCGCTGCCCCACCTACACACATCCTGACAGCCACATCCGCGGGCCGGATTAAAAGGTCCGCGCGGACTTTTGGGGCTGCCAACCGAGAGGGAGGCAGGGGAGCGGCCGACCGAGAGGAGGGAGGGGAGCAGGCGCCCGGCACACAGAAGAGCCGCATTAGAGTGGGTAAAGAGCCGCATGTGGCTCGCGAGCCGCGGCTTGCCGACCACTGGTCTAAATCAGGGGTCTCCAAACTATAGCCCTGCAGTACTGCAAGTCCCATCATGCCTCTGCCTCTAGTAGTCTTGCCTATGGCTGTCAGAGTCTTGCAAGGCATCATGGGACTTGCAGTTCCTCAACACCTGGAGGGCCATAGTTTGGAGACCCCTGGTCTAAATGTATTGAAATGTTCTATTCCCACAGTGTGGCCACCCTAAAGCCCGAAGGACAGTAAACTGGCCCTTTGTTAAAAAGTTTTGAGATCCCTGATTTAGGGCACTGATGCTTCTGACTGCTAGCCTCACCTGATTTAGAGTGAGGTTAGATGATGTCAGTACTATGCTGCTCACTGTTCTCCTTGCTGGGGAGGAAGCTGTACCTGAGGACCTGTAGTACAAGAATCTCTCTGCTTCTGCTTTATTCATTCTGTAGATCTTTGCTCCATCTACCCTCTCCTGCTGCTTCTTGATTATTATTCCAGGAGCCAACAGATCACCAGTCATGGGGCAAAGTTATAACATGAGGAAGCAAAACCCTTCATCTCTACCATATGGCCACCTCCACATAGAGACACAGTGCAGAAGAAGGCTTGAAAATTCTGTAATGTGAAAAGACCAGGCGACTAGTCATTTGGTTTTATTTGTCCTCTGCTTGTTTTCACAATCCCTTTAAACCAATCTTGTCAGCCAGCTAAAAAATATCTAAATGGCAGGTTCCTGCAACAGAATATCTTTTGGTTAAGTACATTATGGCAATGTGTAACTAAGTTTATAAATTATGACAGTTTTTCTAATCATCATGCTCCCTGTTGATAGTGAAAGGCCGCCTCTTATTCTTTGCTGAGTATAGACATAGGCCTACTGTTCCTGTTCTGTCCAACTTTCATGTATTTGTTTCTGTGTAGTATTGAACTGCTGTAGTTTGTTATTGTTTTGAGGTATGCTAACATTGACTGGTGATTTATGGTCACTACAACTTGTTTACTAATGTGCTTTTGGTATCTTCCTCTGTCTTCCCTTCCTGTTTAGTGCTAGTTAGTGTAGTACTAGCTAGACCCTCCCTATTTCTTCATGTTTACTCAGCATGTGTTACTTATTCACAGAGACAGGGCTCAGGAAAATCATTGTATTCCTACACTTCAAAAGACCACAAAAACATCCTCTGTACTACAATTAGCTGAAGTAAAATCTGTTGGATTCAACTTCCGTGTCTTATTGAGGAGTTAAGCTTCCTGTGGATAATGCCAAGTCAGCCGGTGACTATGCTGTCCAGACAGACTGGGCTCAAGGTGGTATGTCAATGCATAAAGCGGCATTTGAAACAGAACTGAATGGAATGGATAGTGCCTAATGGAATATCCAGCCTCGCCTACATTAGCCACGCAAGTAATGTCATACACATACAAACCAGTAAAAAGTGAACACTGCTTTTTTTTAATATAATTATGAAGATCAATAATCTTTAAGAATTGTTAAATATTTCAAACACGAGAAGGTATAGGAACAGAGCAGATGGAGTGTCAGAGCCTTGGTCCGAACCTAGGTCTGCTGCGGTCAGCAGCAATGTTTCTCCTTGCTGAGAGATCTGGAATGCTAAACAGCTCCCTTGACAATAAATTGAATGATCCTGCCTTTACCTTGTTTGTCATGAACCTTGAACCCTTTGCTCCTCCCATGATCTTCCTGATATAAGCCATGTCTCTGCACTTCCTGTTTGTCAGATTATTGTCTCCAGCCAGTTTCTCGCTCCTTGCCTTCTCTGCTGTCATCCATATTTTGATACCACTCGTTATCGACCCTTGGCTTGTTCTTCGACCACGCTTCTGTCTGATCCCAACCTGTGACTTCTCAATTACCGCCCTTTGGATGGTTTACTGACTACGCTTCTGTTTGGTCCTCACCTGCTTAATACTTTACTGGACCTTCGCTTGCTCACCTCCTAGTGGGGTGATTCTGAGGACCGTGACCTGGTGCTAACATGCAGCAACTGGTGAACACCAGTTAGTATTTAGACTCCGTACCTCAGGTGAGCCCACTCCTCCGCCACAGTGACCTGCCTGTGTACCTGCTGGTTTTGTGTGAGCCTTCCCACTGCTATAGCAACTGATCTTCGATCCTGACCCCGGATCATGACAACACAAAATGATACTTGGTTCTGTATTCTTTAACTACCTCCCACCTGCCATTGAGTAATATGACGGACGCAAGGTGGTTCCCTCGTTCTGGGAGGACATCATATGACGTCCTTCCATTCTCACTGCGCATGCGCGGCTCAGGGAGCGCGCAGCGCGGTGATCGGCGGTGCGCTGTGTCCCTTGGACACAGCGGATCACCGATCATGGAAAGAGCCGAAGATGTTGGCTCGATCATGTGATCAAGCTGTGTCCAATCACAGCTTATCACATGTAAACAGGGAAATGCTGGTTATCGGCATTTCTCTCCTCTCGAGCTGTCACACTGACAGAGGAGAGGAGAGCCGGCAATCGGCTTTCCGCGGAGGGGACATGTACACTGATCATAAGGGAACTGATGATCAGTGTGCCCTGATGATCAGTGTGGCCCCAGCAGTGCCAGCTGTCAGTGCCCATCAGTGCCACGTGCCAGTGCTCATCAGTGCCTCGTGCCTCGTGCCAGTGCCCATCAGTGCCATATCAGTGCCACATATCAGTGCCTACCAGTGCACATCAATGCCACATATCAGTGCCCATCTGAGCTGCCTTTCAGTGTCACCCATCAGTGCCAGTCAGTGCCACCTATCAATGCCAATCAGTGCCACCTATCAATGCTGCCAATCAGTGCCACCTATCAGTGTCAGTCAGTGCCGCCTATCAGTACCAGTCAGTGCTGCCTATCAGTGTACATCAGTGCTGCCTAACAGTGCCAGTCAGTGCCGTCTAACAGTGCCAGCCAGTTCCGCCTATCAGTGCCACCTTTCAGTGCTGCCTATCAGTGCCATATATCAGTGCTGCCTTTCAGTGCCCATCAGTGATACATGTCAATGCCCATCAGTGCCACCTACCAGTGCCTCCTCATCAGTGCCCATCACTGCCACCTATCAGTGTCCATCAGTGCAACCTATCAGTGCCCATCAGTGCAGCCTCATTAGCGCACATCAATGAAGGAGAAAAATCACTTATTTACAAACTTTTATAACAAAAACTAAGAAAAAAAATTTTTTTTCAAAATTTTCAGTGGTTTTTGGTTTGTTTAAGAAAAAATAAAAAAAAACCCCAAGGTGATTAAATACCACCAAAAGAAATCTCTATCTGTCACAAAAAAATGATACAAATGTCATATGGGTACAATGTTGTATGACCGCGCAATTGTCATTCAAAGTGTGACAGTGCTGAAAGCTGGAAATTGGCCTGGGCAGGAAGGGGGTATAAGTGCCCTGTAGGCTAGTGGTTAAAAAGGGGTGGTACTGGGAGGTGGGTTGGGGGTGAACCAAGGGATGGTGGTCGGAGGTGGGTTAGGGGCAGAGACAAGGGATCATTCAAAAAGGGTAGTTCCTGCACCTATTCTCTAAGAAAAAAAAGCCATGAGTAAATCTACCCCAGAAAGTCCACACACATTTATTATGTAAAGTAACCTTCTAAAAACTTCCTCAAATAATCTATTTACTAAAATCTCTGTTGAGATGTTCATATCTTTTTAGTCTTTCCTGCCTGCTATATTCTATTCAACAATACCACTAATGTCATTAATTACCAAATTAGAAACACAGTCTCCTATTCAGAAAGAAGCTTTTTGATGTCAGGTGAAAGGGAACATTAATCTATATGCTTGTCTATTATCTTCGCCATCAAAGCAAACAGTTTGCGAACTGGCGGACTAGTACTTGTTTGATCTTCCTCAAATATTAAATCTCCGTCATCTGCTTTAAAAAAATGATATTGTCCCCAACAAAACATGGAGACTTTTTGACTTTTCCACAAGCTCTTTGATACATTACCCCATTACATCTTCCTTCTAGGATGCTGTGTTCCATTGCACTTGATGTATATAGATTGGAGGAGGGGGCTTTTGGCCTGGGGCTTTTTTTTGTGTATTAATAGGATAATAAATGGTCACTATAATTTTGTACACAAAGGACGACACTGTTGGTGACAGATTTGAAATGAGATCCACTAGGCATTAGGAAAAGTTTGCGTAAAAAAAAATCAATGGAACAAGGCAATTTGAAAGGATGAAAGATCGTTTTGTATCTAATCTTTGCTGCTGTTTGGCAACAGATCAAAAGACATTTTTCGCTCATGCATTGAATGTAATGTCTTGGTTTGCATTTATGAATAAAGTATTGGAAGTAGCATGTGAAAGAGGGCAGAGGTGAGGCTGGAGCATGGTGTTCCATACAAGAAGAAATTTAGGCTTTCATAAAAAGTCTTCGAAATGAGAAAGATACTCGACTAGAGATGGGTGAATAATGGAAAGTGCGCTGTGCTGGCAACTCATTCTATGCACTCCGCAATCTAAGTTGATAGTAATTAATACCACAGGGTGTTTTCTTTCTTTGTTTTTTTTGGGGGGGGGGGCTTTTTAGCAATGCTTTCAAATAGTACAAATAAAAAACTAATGTGTGATTCTTCCATCCACAAAGAATAGCTTTATGTTTTTCGGGTCTCAAACAAACAGGTCACCATGATACCAGACCTTATGAACATCAGCATGAGATGAAAGGAGGGAGCCATAATGATGGAGCCCCCTTGTTATTGTACTGGTACTGGGCCCATAGCTTTTTTCACCTCTGTCTTTCTGTTAAGATTAGTATGCCTACCGGTACTTGGCTGCTCCTAAAAATAATAGTGTATTGCTATATTTGCAGGACTCCCCTTTGACCTTCAGAAAGAGAGTTTATGTACCATGTCAGATGGCTTCACAATGTGGAAAGGTACAAGGCAGGTTCCATATGTACCTGCCTGGTACCTTTCCACATATAGGTGATAGGGATACTCCAGAATCACTGAATATTTGCAGGAGGACACTCCACTTTGCTAAGCCTCCCTAAACAGTCTCTATGAAGGAAAAAATACAGATAGTAGAGTCCTTTTATAGGCTCCCATCAGGACTATAGCTGGCTCTTCTACCCAAAGGAGGCCGCAAACAGTCACTAGGTCTCTGAGCTCAGGTCAGTACTTACAATGTCAAAGGATCACCGGATGCAAGTCACAGATTAATGCTCACAATGGTACAGGACAGCCAGACTCAATCTAACTTCCACCAGTTTGGTGCCAAAGCCCAGGTCCCTATCCCTGCTCCTGGCCTGATTGAACACCGTCCCACCTTCCAAGGCTGAACCCTCTGCCATTTTCTGCCCTGCTCCTTGCCATATAACTCCACACAACATTCCTCCCCATAGACCTCTGTATTCCCAAGGAAGGAATTTCCACACAAGAATTAGTTTTTTCAGCACTGTACTGGTAGTATTCAGAAAATGGCAATACAGTCACATCACAAGGGCATACATTTTGGGGTCACATGACATTACAGAGTCAATCACATTTATTGGAAGCATGTGTAGCCTTTCTATAGGCATCTCTGTAGTATCTCTCCTCTGCCCAGGGTCATTTTTACTCACAGGATTGTACTCATCTCCTTGGTAGGTACAATCCACTGTAGTCCCCACCTCCAAAAGAGAAAGAGAGACTGTAGCCGGCTCATCATGCATACAGGTCCACTCCAACTGGCCTCCTGCCCTATCCAGGGCCTACATGTGCTGGCTACATTCTCATAGGTGTAGGGTGTTTAGCTCCTATGCCCCAAGAGTGTGCTTGCCCCTCCCCACCTGGCTTTTATATGGGTGCTGACCCCTGACCAGGGGCGGACTGACAATTTGGAAACTCGGGCACTGCCCGAGGGCCCGGGTCAGTAGGGGGCCCCATGAGATGCCCCTGGTACCTTTTTCATAGGCTTTTTTGAGTTTGGGCAAGGACACAGGGGCCCCATGTTCCCCTATTGCCCGGGGGCCCCATGAGTTGTCAGTCTGCCCCTGCCCCTGACATCACTGTGTGAGAACTCTACCCAAAAGGGGCTTAACATTCAGTGTCACCACATGCTATACCAGATATTATTTTGATACAGAGCCACCTAGTTGTGAAGTAGCTAACTGCATCTGCCTACAGACTGGCTAGCAGCAGGCAGAAGCAGAGTCCATTATTCAAACAAGCATTAGGGCATAAGGCAATCAGTAGCATATTGTTAGGTCAAGCAGTGATCGGTGGAGTAGTTCTTATCTAAGCAAGGGTCAGGTAAAGAGTAAAGCAACCTTCAGCAATCCTAAACAAGACAAGGCATGGGTACAGGAGCCAGGAAGCAGAAATCTTCCACTAGCCTAGAGCCCTGGTCTCGTGAGATGGTTAAATGTACCTTTGGGCTCATAATGCATGGCAATAGCTTAAAAATAATGCAAAGGATTAAACAAAACAACATTAACCACTTGACTACAAAACTTAAACAACTGAATAAATTGTTGAAACACATATTTATAGACTGTTTTATCTGAAAAAAATGGCAGCTCAGACCTGTGACCACCACACTTTTCTACTCTGCAACTAAGTGTAGCTCTACCCCTGAAGGAGTTGATGTAATTTAACTTTCACAAACAAGCGCAGAGACAGCCAGGCAAAAAGCAACTAGTAGATGTCTTCTTAGGATTTTTATTGCTGAAGAACTTGGATGGGGTGAAGGGTGATAGGGATACTCCGGATTCACTGAATATTTGCAGGAGGACACTCCACTTTGCTAAGCCTCCCTAAACAGTCTCTATGAAGGAAAAAATACAGATAGTAGAGTCCTTTTATAGGCTCCCATCAGGACTATCGCTGGCTCTTCTACCCAAAGGAGGCCACAAACAGTCACTAGGTCTCTGAGCTCAGGTCAGTACTTACAATGTCACAGGATCACCGAGTGCCTCCTTCCAGTATCCACCGAACACTCTTCAGTAAGGCACAGAATAATGCTCACAATGGTACAGGACAGCCAGACTCAATCGAACTTCCACCAGACACTCTTCAGTGAGCTCTCCATACCAAGCTCTTAGATGAGAGGTCCCTTGCTTAGCTTCAAAGGCTAGGGCCTGCAGCAAACTCCAGCAGTCTGCCCAGAGGGGCAGATCCCATCAGGCTGGGGACTCCTCCTGCAGGGATACACCCAGGATTAGCACAGGACTGCATCAGGCTCTTCAGCCATCTACTGGGCACACCTCCCTAGGGATTGGCTGCAGCACAATAAATATTCATGCTGCCCATTTGCCTTGCTCAACCTCCTACGCTCCAAAAGTCTCCAGAACGCAGCAGAGAGCAAGAAAACCTGCTGCCTGTGAAACCCAGAACAGCCAAAAGAAATCAACAATTCATCCACTGATTACAGAGTTAAAAAGAACTAAATGTACCTAACATCCTAGCAGCCTATCTAGGAGGATGCTACATAACCAATACAGCTTAGTCACCAGCCTGCCTTGACTATGACTGAATAATTAAATATTACAAGCGCACAAATAGGGACAGTCCTCTGATCTCTTTTAATGTAAGCATGGTCAAGGGGAGAGACTGATAGCACTGTGCACATCAGTATGCTGTATATTAATATCTCCACACCCACCTAGTTATCCTGGTGGTGCAACATACATACTGGGTGGGCTTTTTAGGCACCAAACATTATTGACAAAGCAATCATAAATACATAAAACATCTCCATAGTTTATTATATAAAATGATTGTCTTAAAAGACAGGCCCTCATGTTCAAGATGAACAATTAAAAACAACGGTCTGATGACATATTGTACATGTAACAAGACCACCATCAAATTCACGCTTAGGCACT